TGTGTGTGTGTGTGTGTGTGCGTGTGCGTGTGTGTGTGTGTGTGTGTTGTGTCCGTGTTGTGCTTCTCTGCATTGTGTGTCCTTGTGTGGTATCGAGTCTATGGCTTATGTGGTGATGTCTGTGAGTGATGTGCGTGTGTGCAGTGTTGCAGCGTGGTGTGTGCCCCTGGGTGCTGTGGGCACAGGGAGGAGGGATTCCCCAGCACGTTGGTCAGAGCCGCCCCCTCCCTGGGCTTCCCCTCCCCCTCCCTCGTCCTCTCCCCTTCGGTCCCATACCCTAGTCGTCCCAACCGCCGCCCTCACACCCCCTGCGCCCGGCTCCCGCCCCGCACCCAGCCCGCCCCACTCCCCTCGCGCACCTTCTCCTGAGCCCGGTTGAGCCTTTTCTGCACGTTCTTGGCGAAGATGCCCGTCTTGATGTCGGCCATGGCTGGGGCTGCTGCTGCTGCTCCAGGAGGCTGGAGGTGGAGGGAGCGGGAGGGAGACTTGAGCTGAGCCTGGCGGCGGCGGGCGGCGGGCGGAGGGCGGCTGGCAGAGGCTAAGCCCGACCCACCGACAGATCCAGGGACTACCGAGCCAGCCAGGCAGCGAGCGAGCGGCAGGATGGAGACACCCAGGGATACAGGGGGAGGGGGAGGGGGAGGGGGAGGAGGAGGGGGAGGGCGCACCGGCAGCGGGCAAGGGCGGGAGGGGCCACAGGGAGGAGGGGTGAACTTAAAGGCGCAGCAAGGCCCGGCGGAGCCTGGTACTGAACCCGGGGCTGGGGGCACAGGGCTGTGAAGAAGATGGGGGAGGCGGGGAGAGCAGAGAGGCAGCGAGAAGCTGGAGCGGGCCGAGAGGTATAGGACAGAATGATGGAGAGCGAGGGAGAGCTAGAGGAGGGAGAGGCACAGGAAGGGAGGGAGGGAGGAGAGAGAGAGAGGGAGGGAGGGAGGGAGGGCGAGGGAGAGAGAGAGGGAGAGAGAGAGAGAGACAGAAGCTACTGCTGCACAGCTCGAGGGCATGCGGATTTGTGATAGGGTGATAGGATGGGGATGGGGCTGGTTGAACCTGAAGTTTTCTTTGGGGAAAGGGGAGGGTCAGAGACGGATCTCTTTCTAAGCAGGATATAATGAAAGGAAAAAAAAGATGGGTGATTGTTTTGTTTTGTTCTTTAATCAGACTACAAATGTAGTCTCCGGGTTAAAATCCTCCGGAGCTACCCTGAACTCCACCTCGTGTGACCCAGGTCCTCCTGGCCTCTGCACCTTGTCTCCAACGCCCCTAAAGCCAAATCGATCGCCCAGGGCTCTGTCCAGCCACCAGCTCTTCCCCTTGTGTGGAGAATGCGTGTTGGGGAGGGGGAGGGAGGGCGTTAGGGCCCAGCAACAGGAAAGTGACTGACTATCCAAGCCATCCTCTGCCCCCTCCCCTCTACACCTGCGGTCCAACACTGGGGAACTTCAGGTAGGCAGTTGGCTCAGCAGCCCATGCCAGCATTCCTCCAATTCTGAGCACCGGCCAAGGAGGAAGGAAGAGCTTCTGCCTAAATCTATGAGCCTTTTCTAAGACTTCATTTTCCTGGAAGTCTCCAATTCAGTTCAACCCAAAAAGCCTTTAAGTGACTACTAGTGACAGTCCTGAGGTCATATGGGGTGGCCGACAGAGCCGCCATATTGTCAGGAAGAGCAGAGTTCAAATCCAAGTTCCACCCCTGACAGCCTGACTGAACCATTCCCAGACAAATTATTGAATCCTTGGTGCGTCAGCTAGCTCTCTAAGACTCTAAACCACAGAGCAGTAACTGATCTACACTGACCAAGTCAATAAAGCACCTGCTATGTTACAGGCACTGTGCTAAGTGCTAGGGATGCCAAGAAAAGCAAATGATACTCCCTGTCCTCCAGGAGCTCACCATAGAATGGGAGAACACATAAAAGCTGAAAAGGGGGCACTCCAGAGAGAGAGTACCCAGCCTGGGGGCACAACGAAGATCAAAGAAAGGCAGCAAGGTGGAAATGAAGAGATGGCTGCCCTGGGTGACCAAGGAGAGGGTGGAGAGTGGCAGGTCCTCCCAGATCCTCCACAGCTACCTGACAAGGAGTCCCCCAGCCTTTGCTTGAAGAGCTCCTAGGAGAAAGACTCACTAACCTTCTGAGGCAGCCCTTTCCACTTTTGAATAGAAAGAATTTTCTTCAGATTAAGCTAAAAGTTGTTGTAAGTTTTCCCCTAAGAGTTCACACACTAAGGAAGGTCAGTCACAGGTCATGTAATGAGGAAAATAGTCATATCCAAAGTGGGGAAAATAAGTCATCCCTAGAGCCAAGCTAAGTGCCCAATGGGTGATGGTGACAATAACAAGCGCGCTCCAGTGGGTGGCTCCAGCAATTATCAGTGAGCAGTTACTTCCAGGGCATAGATCTTCTCCATGTTGAGTCCTAGAAATGCAAGGAATTATGGAACTTATCCCTCACACGTTGGAGGTCAGTCAATCAGTTAACAAACATTTGTCAAGTGCTTACTATGTGCCAGGCATTATGCTAAGCCCTGGGATCACAGATAAAGGCACACCTTCCACTGTAGCACTCTGAGACACACATGGACTGAGCATTGGGCTTCACTTGGGAGCCCTGAAATGAAGAGACCTTTCTCTTTGGGGACTAAACAAATGAACAAGGCCATTGGTCTTTGTTTAGGACCATTCCCGAAGATCTCATAGAAACGGCCTACCGTTGGTCAAGATCACGTCCTTCCCCTATTCCCACAACTCATTCACCGTACATAAAACCTATGAAAGCAATGGTCAAGAAACAAATCCCGGGCATCCCTATGGTGCCACTCTGCTCTGACTGCTCAGAACTCTAGAGGGACTCGTTCTAGATAAAGAGTTGATAATGGGGTGGTTTTCTTAAGCTGCAGACAGATGCCTGAAGCTAGTCTTGTCCTATATGTGGGAAGCAGGAAGTTGTCACTGCTTAATACAGATACTGCATGACCTTTCAAGCTGTTGCCATATGAAGATCAGGGAAAGGAAAGGGGCTGTTTGTCCTGGAAAAGAGAAGACATCTAGGGAGTCCTGGTGGCTGGCCTCAGGTTTTTGAAGGGCATCGTATGACAAAGAGATTAGACTTGATCTCCTTGGCTCCAGAGAGCAAAACCAAGATTAATGAACGAGTGGAGGCTGCCATGAGGCCGATATCATGGGAGGCAGTCACACTTTGACTACCCATCCCTCTTCCTCCCCACCCCAAGTCTTTTAGTCAGCACTGGATGGTCCCTTGTGAGGGACGTTGTCCTGGCTGTAGCATGCTATGTGCCCAGCACACATAGCCTTCAGCTCTTAGTTCTTGAATTCCCTCCTGACTAATTCCCCTCACATGACTCCTGATGTGCCTTCTCCAATGAAGAGGTAGCTTGACTTAGGATCAAACAAAGAACGTTGTATTGGGACAGAAGACCTGAGATCTAGTCACTGAATCCAGAATTTTGGGATTAGGGGGTCTTGGAGGGTGCCTCATCCCACCCCACCAATGAATGAATCAATTTATCTAGTTCTAGCCACTCCTCCTCCCCTCTATCAAACTATCCAAAACACAGCACCGGATGGATAAAGACTGGAGGCAGACCAACCTACAGCAGACTATTGCAATATCCAAGCATGAGGTGTTGAGGCTGCCCCAGGGTGGGGGCAGTGTCAGAGGAGAGAGGGGACATGTTGGGGAAATGTTGCAAAGGTGAAATACACAGGCCTTGGCAACAGATTGGATATGGGGGGCCAAAATGGGAGGGGGAAGGAATAAGCATTTATATAGTGCCCGCCATGGCTCTGTACAAAAATTACAAATATTATCTTATTTAATTCTCACAGCAATCCTCCAAGGTAGATGCTGTAATCACCCCCATTTTATGGTTGAGAAAACTGAGGCAGACAGAAGTTTTGTGACTTGCCCAGAGTCGCACAGCTCTTGAGTACCTGAGACCATACATATTTGAACTCAGGTCTTCCTGACTCCTAGTCCAGTGCTCTATGCACTGTGGCACCACCTAGAGGCCTCTAGGCAATGGATTGGGGGAGAAAGGATATGAGAGTGGGCCACTGAAGGTCTAGGTCGTGAGCCCAGGAGATTGGGAGAATGATGTGCCCTCCACAGTAATAGGGAAGTTGTAAGGGGGTCTTTCCTAATTTCAAGTCTGAATCTGCCACTTTGTAATTTCTTCCCATTGCTCCAAGTTCTGCCTTCTAGGACCAAACAAAGCTGGTCTGGTACCTCTTCCGGGTGATGTCTCTTGTCTTCAAACGTCATCCTTAGATTTCCTAGAAAACTAATGCCATTTTCTGGCATTCCTGGTTATAGTAGAAATATCTGGTGAGAACTTGATAGTTGAATTATGGTGTGTAACATCCATATCCTACAAGGGAAAGAGCCCATCTCTGGAGTCTGAGGTCCTGGGTTCAAACATTATTTCTAATACTACCTGTATGAATGGACCTAGGTTTTATCATCTGTCAAATAAGAGGGTAGAACTACGCGTCCTCTGATAACCCTTCAATCTCTAGAGCTATAAGCACTCTAGATCCCTGGGCCTCAGTTTACTCATCTGTAAAACAAGAGCTTTGTTGAATGGCTTCCGAGATTCTATCAACCACCGTTCTGGGCTTCCATTTCCTCATCTGTGAGAATGAAGAAGCTCTACTAAATGATTTCATCTAGCTCCAGAATTCTGTGATGTCCTTCATTTACTCTCCAAGTCCATCCTGAGCCCCTTCCCACCCAATCGTCTAGTTACTACAGCTCTTCACAACCACGTGTCTATTCATTAGGGATACAACAGAAAAATGTCCGTATTTGTAGTCAGAGGACCTATGTTCACATCGTAACTCAATTACTGTGTGCCTCTGTCCCCTGCGGTACCTTGGACAAGTCACTTCTGTCTGAGCCTCAGTTTCCTTATTTGCAAAATAAGGAGGTTGGACTCAATGGCCTCTAACATCCTCCAGGTAATTCTCTGAACTCTATACTTTTCCCCAGTCAGACTGAGAAAAAAGGAGGGGGAGGGGAGGGGGAGGAGTTGAGGAGGGGGAGGAGGAGGAGGAGGGAAGAGAAAGAGAAAGAGGAGGAAAAAGAGAAGGAGGAGGAGGGGGGAAGCAAGAGGGGGAGGGGGAGGAGGGGGAGGAGGACAATAAGGATGAGGAAGGAGGAGGAGGAGGAGGGAAGAGAAGGAGAAAGAGGAGGAAAAAGAGAAGGAGGAGGAGAAATTGCCAATACACGCCCCATAGCTTTAAGCAGGACGAGATGCTGGGCATGTCCTTCCTTCCAAGTGCTGAGTTACATAAAACCATTAGAAAAGGAGCAGCCTGGTGCCATTTGATCCCTTTCTGCTCTTCTGTTCATTGGGTGCCCTTGTCCTTCCAGCAATAGCAATTCTTTGATGCCATGCCATGGTTTTTGAATCAATTTTTCTCT